AGTTCCTCCATGTCCGACATCCATCTCCGCGCGGGCACCGAGATCAAGTCGGTGCCCGATCCCTGGTTGTGTTGATCATCCAAAAGTCAATCTAGTGTTTGTCCCGATTCGTGGAATCGATGCCGCGACCCACCAGCAACGGGTTTGGCTGCCAATCAGACAAGGAGGGGGGTTCCATCTTGAAGTAACAACGCGCTTGATTCTTTTCAACTCAGTGCTCCATTCGGTGCCACGATTAGGCAAATGAGTAGAAAATCTCGATCCAAGAAAGGGCCGCTAAAAGTCTAGGCAATCCTGCAAAGATTGGTTCCCAGGGACAAGTGTAATAAACGAGCCTTTTTTTAGCGCCTATTGGCGCTCCTGTCCCTGTTCTCAACCCCCTGCTCTCACGGAAACCCACGGGAATAACTGGCATCTGTTCGGAAGTTGATCATCTAGACAAGCGATGCAGGGACAACCGATACGATGCCACGTGAATCTATGTGGGTCGGATCGGTCCCAGGCATCCGGGCTCCATCTTGGTAGCTAGACTTGTCTGACAGGCCCAGTTATCTTTACACCGATCTCGGGCAGCGGTCCCCTTTCCTAGACTAGTCAGGGGGCAATCTACACCACCTTCCTCACATGAAGCTCCGCCGTCTGCAGTTCCTACGCATGCAAGAGATGCCAAAGAAACCGTGGACGAGACCGAGATCGCTTGCCGCGCCTTCGGCGTAAGCTTGGATGCCATGGACCGCAGAACTGCCCGCATTCTCCTACTCGTGTTGTCACCATTGTGGTACAGCGGTCCGTGTATTGTACCGTCATCAGAACCCAGAGAGACTACACGCCTACAGCCTTGCTATCATTCCGCTGCAAGATCAATCCCCTTTGGGTAACCCTACCTCCTGTCGGCAAGCTCGTGCGCATCAATCAATACCCCAGCTAGAAAGCTTTAGCCTCTTTACCATCTCTTATAGTACCGTATAGACTGCGTAGTGATCCCCTGTACATGCCAGACCTACTCAATATGCAAGTCTCTGAAACGACATCCCCCTTCAAGGAGTCCTTCTAAGACAGCGAGTTCTAGATTCTAGATTTTAGCTATATGTGTAACTTGAGAATACAATAAGGCGTTCCTCTTTTCGTTTTATTTTCCCTCTGAAAGGTTGTATTAGATGTGAGACTACAACAACACGCGGAAGCCCGTCCATTGAATAATGGCTCTCTCCCGTGTCGAGTCTGTCCATAATGATGCTTGTCGTATTCGGATCTCCGATGCATCGGCAGGCACGGAGCCAACTACACCCGGACCCGCAAGACGATATGTGTTGATCATTGCAAAAAGGATCTGATCTAGGCTGTGGAGCTATCTTTGGTGCCTAGCTAAACGGCATTCTGTCAGCCTGTGCGTCTGCCCTCACCTGAACATAGAGCGGCAGCTAAATTGGCCTACCCTTGTCGCATCTTGGCTTCTGCCCTTGGGCCGGGTGGCAGTGTCTGCCCTACAAGGCGCAGGACGACTCCAGCGTCAGATTTTCCACCACTGTGGACGAGTAGATTTTTAATTTGACATGCCATCCACTTAGTTGTATCCGCTCGGAACGATCTGAACGAAGGTAGAATAACAGCTCGCATTCCTCAATCCGTAAACTACTTTGTCTGTAGCCCACCCACGCGTGCCAGGCTCCAGGAGGCTCGTAATGAAACACGAGGAAATAGACGAAGGCAGAAGGGCAATACAGAGTGAAGGTACTACGGGCAAGCGTTGCTGGCTGGAGAAACGCGGCGTTATCAGAACCAGCAACATGTCGCCCTAGGGGGACCCAGTCCCAATTAGGAAGAAAATATGCATTCTTGATGAGTGGGCGTGTAACGCATGTTCAGTGGCCACACCTGGAACATCTTGCTCGGCCAGGAGGACCTCCTGGCCCGAGGGGCGTGTGTTTGGCCGCGTCAAGTATCCATCCCAACTCTATGCCCCTAGCAAACGCCACAAAGCTTCGGAAACGTGCGGTAGCCGGCAACAAGTTTGGCAGATCCGTTAATCCCTTTGGCTTGGGCCGATCTGCTAGGGGTGAATAAGTCCCATGGGGTCACCTGAGCGAGCTCTAGAGCACTGCTTCGTTCTCGCTCGTTTCACCTCTCTCGTTCGCGCCGCCAATTGCGTGTGCATCCGAGTGTGGACCCCCAGGTTTACACGCCGCTCCCCGCCGTCCAATGTCTGCGACAGACCTGCTTGTCTCACCCACGCCTCACGGACGCCAAAAAGATGTGCAGGGCTTATTTGGAAGGGCTGTATAAGGCAAAAGTTAGTAGTGAACACCATGGCGACATCCGAATAGCTGCGTATTCGTATCGCCCTATAGGGTGGTAGTGTTGCGGTTCATAACGAGCCGGTACTCCACCTCGCGCATGTTACTGGCAAGTTCGTGCTTCAGTTCTTTCCTTGTTTACTGACTGGTCAGCAACAATTGTAGTTGTTTTGAGTCCTTCTTGATTTCGGTTTGTTGCCCTAGTTTCTCACCGTCCTGGTGACAGTTTCTTTAATATGCGCGAAAACCAAACTAAATTGGGGACTGGGAAGAGAGGTGAGGGCAAGAAGGAGGGGGAGACGCAATCAGCCAAGGGGACCTCAACAGCCACAACCAAGAGGACCGCGACAGCCACCGCAAAGGGAACCGAGACAAGTGCCGCTAAGGGAGAGAAGGGAGCCCCAAAGGCATCCAAATCAGGTACTCTCAAGGGAAGCGAGACGAGCGCCCCGAAGGCGACCGAAACAGCCGCTCCCATGGGCGCGGGGACGGAGATGGGTGCTCCCATGGAAAACCCTATGGGCTCTGAGACGGCTGCTCCGGTGGGTGCTCCGGTGGGTGCTCCGATGGGTGCTCCGATGGGCGCTCCGATGGAAGCCCCCATGGGAGGTGAGATGGGTGCGCCTATGGGAGGCGAGATGGGCATGCCTCTCGGGTTGGAGCCAGGCACCCCCGCGGGGGGCGAGATGGGTATGCCCACGAGTTCTGAGACGGGCACTTCGATGGGGGGCGAGATGGGAATTCCCATGGGAGGTGAAATGGGCATGCCGACGGGAACCGATACGGGTGCCCCCATGGAAGCCCCTATGGGAGCACAGACGGGGACGGGAATCGAGATGGGCTCCACCATGGGCTCGGAGACGGGTGCTGCCGTAGGTGCCGATATGGGAATAACTACAGGACCAGGCACGGGCACCACCGCAGGATCAGAGACTGGAACTACCACCGCAGATATGGGGACTACCATGGGGGTAGACATAGGCGGCGGTTTCGGCACAGACCCCACTGCCATGGGCGACACGACCGCCACTTTGGGAGGCGATATGACCGGGACCGATCCCACTACTACCATGGGCGGAGACATGACCGGTGCCATGGGGGCTATGCCTGCTATGATGTCTCTCCCTCCTGGTTTTGATCCTGTCGCAATTGGCTCGGCAGGCTTGCAGGCTGGTGTCATACCCTTCTTCCCGTTCTTCACGCCCTCTTTCGATCTGTCCTTCGTCGCTGCCGTCATCTTCACGGTCATCGGTGTCATTCACGTTTTGTTCATGTTCAAAAGCAAGGCATGGTACTTCAGCATCGGGACCCAGGCCGCAGCATGTAAGAGCTCCGAGCGGCTGTTTGTGCGAGGAATCTTCACTGATATCGTCCCTAGTCTTGGGCATTGGCTCAATTTTAAAGGCCGTTCTTATTGGTCTCGTCGGTGCAGGCCCTAGCGCTAGTTTGTTTGGCACTTTCTCTGCCTTCCAGCTCATGTTTATGTGAGGCCTACTATCTTTTGTTCGTTAGAGAAGGGCGGGTCTGACAGGATGATTCGTATGAATCTAGGATTACTAACTCGATTCTGCCCCTCTCCGTCATTTTCACTTATACGCGGCTCATGTGGTGGATCACGCCGCCGGAGATCCGTAACTTCACCACGCTCTGGGCTCCCCCAATGTACCACTCGTTTTTCTTCGGCTTGGGGCAGACCATTGGAGATATTTTTTCAATGATTGGAAACGGCCAGTTCGTCAAGCCCGTGCGTCCGAGGCTTGTGGCCATCGGGGCGGTCTTCCAGATGCTCGTCTGGATGTACCTTTTCGTGGTGGTGACGCGATTTACATGGATGAGTCGCAGCTGGCGAAGGGAGAAGGAGATGAAGATGAAGTCTCAGAAACTCGGTATCGCTCTGAGCATCTGCTCTTTCCTGTTGTCGGTGAGTTGAGCCGCTAGTCGTCAACCGGAATCCTCAGGTGCCTAACTGATGACTCGTCAATTCTAGGTTCGAGGTCTTATGCTTGTCCTTGAGAAGGATGCGCAAGATTCCCTCCTGACGACCTTCAAGGTTTCCTCGATTGTAACAACCGACGAATGGACGCTCTATGTCTTTGACACTCTGCCACAAGCTCTTATTCTCATAATCCTCGCCATTCACCACCCGGGATTCTATCTTCCTAAACGACTCCTCGGCTTTCGCTTGAAGACCCAGGCACTCGCTAAGGAGAAGAAGGCACGCCCCGGCTCTCCTGCTAGCAATGGATGGATCATCAGCTCGCCAACACCTATCGATATGGAGAAGGCAACCACAAGTTCCACGTACTTGGAAGTGATGGGTGCAGACATGTATAAGACAGTTGGGTATGCGAAATAGTCTTGGGCGGGGGAGATGAAAAGGAGACAAGTTTGAAGGACATGACAATTTACTTCATTGCACATAACTTAGAGCATGTATATTCTCTCGTTAATATATTTTGAAATCACGATCCCATCCCGAGCGATATATATATATCTTGGTATAGATCTTGGTAATGCTTCTATCCACTGACGATGTCGGAGTATCTCATGACTATATTGGCACCACTGGACTGGTTGTTAGAATGGACCGATAAGGAGCCGCAAGACGCGTATATTGTAGCGCATACTCGTGCCACATGTAATGCAAGTCAGGGCTCTCATGCGAATCCCATACAAAAAGACAATCGACCCCCAAAAATGTACGGCTGCCCACTGCCAGAATCGAACTGACGACCTTGACATTACTAGTGTCACGCTCTACCGCTGAGCCAAGCGGGCCTAAGGATCGCATGTGCTTTCCGAATTGGGAAAGCCGTTCCGCAATTTCAATATTTACATCGAAATTATGGTGTAGACCCATGTCGTGACTTGAGGGGCTAGGGCTAAACATGCCCTTGCTGCGTGACTGACAACTCTCTACCACCAAATCCAAGGTCGTTTTGTCCGTCTTTAAGTACTTCTGTACCTAAAATAAGGCGGATTCCAGTGTCCCTCCTGCAAATGCGGCCTGGCAACAAGATGGACAAGCAAGGCAGAGTTAAGAAGCACCTGGCTGAAATAATGTGTGGGTCCTGCATCTTCGGCTTGTCGCACTTGAATCGTAATATTTCGTTAGCGAAAATGATAGTTTGTTGCTAGCTCCTTCAGCCTCTAGGCGGAGAAGCAGCAGTGCCCATGGGCCAAAAACCAGTGAGCTTCAATGCGTCATTCTGCCGTGCTGCTTGCCGTGTAGCCGGTCAGCAAATATACTACCCATTGAGGGCTTCTTGATATGTACTGGATTGTGACAATTGCCCGGACTATCCGGCTAGTGGTTCCAACCACTGAAGAAGGAGAGCGATAGTAGCACCCATAAGGAAGGTAGGATTGGAGTGGCCTCAAGAGAAAGCTCTCTAGCCCACTTCGAGATACTCATAAAGTAGCATCCTCGATGATTCCTTGTTGTCACATGCTGAGTCAAAAGTGAATGTTAATGGGGTGTAATCTCTACCACTCTGGCATACTTGCAGTATTTGGCCAAAACCTTCACCTCTCGCTGTCACATCCAAATTTGGGGCCAGCAACGACAACGTCCATTCAGTGACTGTTCGGCGTATATTTCTGTAACTCTAACAAGTAACTTGGCCTCATAATCGGCCTAGCTAGGCCGGCTGGAGATCTATAAAAGAGTCCTGGATACATTTCTGGAGCACCTATGCTCCTTGATTTACTGTTCGCCCAGTCTCCAAAGAATACGTTTCGTACCGCCTAAACTGACTAGAAGATAAGAAGTAGTACCCCTTCCAATGAATATCTTTGCAGTACTGAACTGACAGTTAGCAATAGGATGCGGTTCACTCTTGTCATAGCAACTTTCATCACGGCTATCACTGCCGTCCCGATCGCCGACCCGGTCGCTGGAGCGGCTGTGGCCTCCGACCACTTCGAGCCGTCGGTACTTAAACGCACCGGAGCTTCCGCGGCGGCAGACTACATTGCCGATCCAGAGCCGGCCATTCTGTAGCGTTCATGGCACATTGAGGAAACCGACCTCTTGAGAGGCAGCAAATATGGTATCGTGAGCATTGGGGGCAGCTGCTACTACATGAAATCAAACATCAAGAGGGCTCTCAGTTTTAACAAAGAAAGGTCTCGGCAAGTATTTTGTGCTTGGACTATGTTTGCACTGTTAGATAGGAAACCTCGGAAAGACAGTGGCAAATTCAAGACAAGTAGTAGTCGTCCTTCGGCCATTTCCCTTACGCATTTGGCATGTCCTTTGCCCGGCGAGCTGTGCAGTGATGAGAGTAGTGAACTCTGAGTCATGAGGAGAAGGCGGCACTTTGCCGAGGTCTATGGCATAATGAAATCGGTGGCCTGGCGAATCGGCTCTTTGTGATCATGACTGCGCTCGCATGGAGCGCGCTCCGACTGGTGCAGAGTGTGCATGCTACCTCACCTTGGACTAGGAATGCACTCGCAAACAAGTTAACCTAGCCGAGCTCTACCTTTTGGGCTACATTAGTATATAATTAGCATCCGGCCCTTGCTCCGTAGACCGTTATAGTACCGACTTGGTAGACGCATACTATGGTTCCTAACTTGGCTTCAATGCCTACCCATCTGACGTGCAGTTGAACAATTTAGCGCTGCTAATGCTGGGCGTGGAGTAAGCGCCAATATTGGTCTCGGGCTTAGAGATGCACTGGGGCTACAGCACAGCAAGAATAGCGGGGTGTGAAGTCTACTCCTACGGCTATCAGCTATTCAGGTTCTGAAGGGACCAGGCGGAATCAGTCCTACCTAGACTAACCCAGCACGACGAGCGAATATTTCATAATACAGTGGCCTAAATGCTAATTAAAATTCCTGATTTATGAACAACACTCGCATTTCGCTCCGGATTTAGTAGTATCACCGAGTTACGAGGGCATGAGTCTAACAAGGCGTCAAAACCTGCCTTCTCAGTTATAGGAATCTATCTTTCTCAGGGAAATGTATGTAGGTGTATAAACCTATCAATTTAAAGTGTCTTTGGAATACAAGATACCTAATAGGGTGTTGATCGAGGTCGGGGACGGGACTTTGCTTCAAAGCCCGTATGATAATGGATGGGGGCAACGTTTTGGTGAGATGTCCTGCTGGCAAGTAAAGCTGCGATTCAAAACTCTTGGGGTTTTTTCTTTTCTTTTCTCATGAGAAGGCATAGATAGTGCTCTAATTTCTGATACCATGGCTTGTGGAACAAAGCATGAAGAGCACCGTCTGCTTCCTACCGATGACTATGACACGGAATCGGCTTCCTGGAACGAGACCGGAAGTATCCAGCACCAACCAGTCGCCCTGCTGCTCCGCAGATTAAGCCTTCTTTGGAGGTTTTTAGTTACTCTCTTTTCCATAATACTGGTCATTGCTATGGGGTTTGGGCTAGGATACCAACATCGTGTAGGGCAAGAGCTAGGATGTCCCTCGCCATATTGTAAGTGAGCTCTGCAGTATGGCGTACAACGGAGGGCTAACTACGATTTCAGTAAAGCTTGAATTCGACCATCCCGACGAGCACTGGTGGGGAACTAAATACAGCGACCTGAGTGCAAGTGATGCAGAGCTTAACAGGCTCTGGGATCTCGAGTTACCCTGGGAGAGCGGGATCATTGCCCTCACGAACGCAGAAGCGCGGGCAATGAACCTTCCAACTTCGCAGCCATTCCCCTGGGATGCCAAAGCAAAAAGCCTCTACATCGTCAATGCTCACCACCTGTTACACTGTGTGGTACGAATCCCTCCTCCTGAAATACGCCATCCTTCATTGGGAGACTAGTGAACTAAGTATTTTCAGCGTAACATCTACATTTCGATCCAAGAGTACCGCACGAACAAGACCCAGAGCATTCAATACCCGCACATCCTGCACTGCCTAGATACGTTGCGGGTCGAAGCAATGTGCAGTGCCGATGACACGCTCCTCTACGTTCCGTCGAAGAAAATTCCCGGCGCACACGCCGGCGAGGGGCAAGAGCGAAAGTGTCGTGACTGGAAGCGCGTCCAAGAGTTTGTTGAGGCCCACGACCCGTGCTATCGCCACCGCCCGGAGCTTCCAGACATCGAGCAGTTCCAATTCTGCCCGCCCAACTCGGAGTACCTACCCAGGATACGCCAGTACTTTGGATACGACGACGAGTGGGTCCCGCAGGCGACAGAATCACCTTTGGAGCTAGATTGGTGATGGGAATAGATTTGGGCTTTGTTGGTTGCCGCTACCGTTTCCTGAGTTGAATTCTTGCAACAACTCCTTTGGTAGACATCGTAGTTCCACATGCCACTGGATTGCTCCAGCACATCCATACCTGCAGAATATATGTGTCTGTTTCTATTCTCTACATGCCAGCGGATTTATTGCACCCGCAACCCCTGAAACATACGCTTGTGCCATCTCGACGCCTGGACCGTCCTTTCCAAATGCTGTGCCATAGTCCCCCCAGCCACCATGCATTGAGCCGTCATCCCATTCCACACCATCCGTATAAGGTCTGTTGTCGAGAAACTCTTTCCTTCCACCGAACCCACCTCCCAAAAGAACGCTAAAGTCAACGGTACACCGCCCTTCTCGGCATCGAGCTGCTACTCTCTCCCGGAGGATGTCCAGCGTGCCCGCCCAACTCCCATTTTGAAGTTCGATACAGTGAAGTCGAAGGCTCTCCATACGGTCCCCTAGCTGTTTACTAAAACTTTCGAGGTCGTCTTGGTCAATAGTAATGGTGCTGATATCGATGCGCTTTAAACATGAGGAATCGATAGCGCGCAAGACCGGATTAAGGTCGTACGATTCTGGTTCTGGACCCCACGTCCATTGATCGCCGGAGGTACCCATGCAGTACATGTTGAGAAGAATGTCCTCAAGATGACCTCCGGAGAGCATGGCACCTAGATACTCATCAATGGAAGCTTTCTCGTGGTCTGGAAGATGACTCTCTCGACTGAGCCGGTCATACAAGTCTCCTTTCTCTGCAAAATGGACTAACTTGAGCTGCCGGCAGACAGCTCGGAGTTCGTCCCATCGTGGCTCGACCTGACCCTGCCGCAAAGGGCGTAGGTGGAGATATCCACCTCTCCGTGGAAAACATTGGATGTGAATACTCGCGATTGCAACCCCCGTTTTGTGGATGGCTATGGGCAGTTCCGAAAGAATCCTTGCCGGCAAGAGACTGGTGCTTCCGCCAGAGCGTAGCCCCTCGATGGTCCTCCAACTAAGTGGATAAGCTATGATCCGGGAGAGTTCGTTTGGATCATGAAGCATTGCAACTGGTCCCTCGCGGGATCGGATACACCAAGAGTTTACTTCATCAGTGAAGGTGAGAGAGACGGGATGTTTCATGCTTGACATGGCAGAGGCCAGCGAGTTAACAAAGAATTGTCCTTGAAGCAGCCGGTCCTGTTCCAACTGCTTCCGCCGAAACTCGTCGTATCCCTCGACAAGGATTTTCTGGTACTTTAGACGTCTTTCCTTGTACTCGGCACCATGCATGGGACCACTCTCCTCCGTGGGATCGGCTCTGTTCACACCTTCGGCACCACCAGTGGAGTCGTCGTCCTTCGGTTTCACATATGCATCCCATGCATCTTGGATACACTGATATGTGGTCTCATAGCTCCAGAAAGAACGTGGTAGTTCCATCTCGCTTCCCATCTGAAAATCGGCGGCGACAGGTCCGTTGTGGTAGTCGCCATCTGCGATCGCAACGTGGAGGTCAAGTTTACGAATGGCCGCGAAGTATTCGAGACTGTCAGCGACCTCCCTT